AGTCTGTACCATGCTCTCGCATGCTCCGGCTGGATATTTTTGTGTGAAATACAGGATAGGGCATACAGGTTATTTGAAATTCCTTACAGTGGCTCCCTACCCAAGCCGTGCAGGGTTTCAAGTGCTAACATACCTAGGTAAGTAAAGTAATCATTGTCACACACTGAGATTTTATGTGCCTTAAAATGCGCTGTTTGCTGCTGGCCATTTCACATGCAGTACTGCTGCTGAAGTGTAGAGACCTCCAGAGATGCTATATCTCTTTTTTTTCTCATTTTATTGTCTTACATGGAAAATCATCATCCTTGGCATGTTCAAAGCAGTGAACATGCTTTGGGTACCATCTGCAGCAGCGTTCTTCACCAGCACAATCTGAGGATCACCTTAGTCCTGGTGTGGTGATTTTTACTTGCAGTTTTTGCAGAGAACTGGATGCCTTTTTTGGGCACTGTGTCAGACTGGGATCTAACTTCTGGCCTCAGGGCACATCATCCAGGACCAGATACTGCCTCTGCTCACTTCTGAAGCACTCTGGAGCCGTGACTCCACAGACATGAGATTAATACACTTGATGATTGAATTTATGTCAAATTCACCAAAGCACATCACATAGAATTTATGGACTCTATGCTATCTGCACTAGGACAGTATAAGCCTCATCCAGCATAATATTCGCCAAAATAAACTTCCACTCTCTCTGTTCCCAAAATTTAGTAAGCTGTTTATGTACTGAATCAGCTCAGGGTGGCTTGTGGCCACATTGGTTTTGATCTGCTAGTAGCCAGCCTAAAATTGTCACATCAAATCCTCACCCCAGGTGTATGCTTTGTGGTCAAGAGCTCAGTACTGAAACATGGGCTTCCTGCCTGGCTAATCCAGGGCTAGGATACATAGGATACAATCTCCCATTTTGTTCAGAGCACCAGCTTTTAGCTCTGTCAGAACTAGAGCCAAGGAAAAGAAATACAGGCTGCTTGAATGATGTGAAGTCATCTATTGACACTATTTGAATTTTTATTGTGTTTCCTTTTTATATATGTTTTTGTTCAAACATTCCCAATAGAAAGAGTGGCTGCATACACAAAGGAATATTTCCTTTTTGACTTTATAACCCCCATGGAGGAGGCTGACCATCCCATTCTACAAAAGTCAAAAGTTATTGAGTAAACAGTTCTGGCCTGCTAGATGGTGCTGGAAATGAGCATCAAATAATTTCTAATCTCTCTTGCAGGCAAAAAGAGTAAAACAGTCTAAAGGGCCACTGATTCTGATTCCCAGTGTCATCATTGCTGTGTTCGGAGTCTCTAGAAGACTATGGCAACCAAAATTTTGAGCAAAACTATGGATATCTCTAAAAATAATGTTATTGGATGTCATGGTCATTCATTGTGCAGCTGTAATGTACAAGCTGGTCCTCTCCCTACTCCTTTCAGAGTTACTGAGACAGAGTCTGCTGTGCAAAGCACAAAAGGGTCTTGGGTACTGTGGTCCTGAAGTTCTGAACCTAAAGGTACAGATACCCTAAGAACATTAGTTACAATATCTGCTGTAGAATTCAAGGATGTCAGCAGGAATTAATCAATAAGAGATTCTCCAGAAGAACTCCCTTCTCTTTTATTATTCCCTTTATCCTCACTGCAGAGCTAAATTAAATGTATATCAAAAAGCCTACTGGAAAAGGAAGAACAGTGAGAGAAAATATCAAACTCAAGTACATCTGAAAAAGAGATCTCAATTCTGATATGCGTCAGATCCCAAATTCTTCCTTTCAGAGTGAGGGAATTAATCTAAAATGGAACAAGGCAGACTCACTCCAGAACAAGTTTTCACACATGGGTTATTCTGCAACAGTTATTGCAAAGTATGTTTACTCTGTCCTGGTCAGAATTAACTTACAAGTGCAGACAAGTCATTCCATTAGACTGGAGAGAATTGCAAAAACATTTAATAAAGATATTTAGTTATAAAATCTGCAGTGGCATTTGTAGTTCATTTTGGTTTTGCTTTTCACAGCATTTTGTGAGCTGGCACTAATCCCCTCCATATTTTTTAAATAGTAGAGAACATTGTCAATTCTTCTGTGACTGATAGCGTGTGCCCAAATATTTATAACAGAACTGTTGATCTGAAAATTGATAAGGAATCAGCAACTCAGGGACCATTTGAAACTGAAATAATGAAATCTCTGTTGACAGCACTCATAGCATTACAGATATAAATTATTCCAGAGCAGCCTAGTGAATGTTTACAATTTTCATACAGGGAACACAAAGAGAACTGTCAAAGGCATGAATTTGCACATCCCCCTTTTCCCAAACTGTGGCCACCTTCATTGCCACATATTTGTCCCTCACTGATCTCTAAAGCAGGAGGAGAATGATGTTCTTGGTGCATTTTGTGTCAAGTTTCAAATCAATGTTGACTTTGTCACTGACATTTCAATGGCAAGCACACCTCCCCATTCAAAGGATGAATTTTGGCACTGTCTACTTGAGTTAATCCTTTTAAAAGTGCTTCAACATCAACGGTAGTATTTGGCTCTGCATGCATGATTTCTGGGCAGCTACTCAAAACTTACTAAGCAATAATCTTTTTGTTTAATCATTCACTGCAAACATGTTACATAAAACGGTCTGATAACAGAGTCATGAGACTATTTTTTCCACTGCTATTGTACAAATTATGAGACTTAAAAAATTCTGGAAGATAGGCAGAACAAAATTAAATTTCCTGCTGCTGTGAGAAACAGGAAATTTTTTCAGACCAATGGAATTAGGTCTTGTTAAGTAAGTGGTGCACCTCTTCCCGTGGTCTACTGATTATCTTCTGGAAAGCTCAGGTGCTGAAGGGCTGCTGCATGCTTTTTGTTCAGTGGCAGTAGGGGTAAGGCAGACATCATGCACCATTAGGAGCTGCATAGGCTTTTATGGAGGCCACACTTGTGTATTGTCAAAAAACATAAACCAGTTCAAGAAAGCCATCACGGCATCCTCACTGGGAAAGATCCTTGGCTGTGGGATGAGGCAATGCTGCTGCTCTAAGGCCCTCAGCAAGTCCGTACTGGGAGCTGCATTGTGTCAATCTCCACAGAAACATTTGCATGGTATGGAAATGTACTGGCACTGCTGCATGCTCCATTGGCTGGCAGAGATTTCTCCCATCTGTCCTTCTGTTGTGCACTTAGAAGGTGCTTGAATTGTAGGACTCTCTGCTTCTTTGTTGTTATTTCTTGTTTGCCTCTTGCTTAAGACAACCCATTGCCCGTGGGCTGGAACGTGTCACCGCTTTCTCCCCGTGTGATCTGTCCTCGTGCCTATGGCTCAGCTGCCACCAGCCTTCTCCCTTGAGCAGCCTGCTGCAAGTCATGGTCAGCCAAAACGAGCCAAAAGCCACGCTTGCCCTGCAAGGAGATGCTGCAAATGAAGTGCTATTCATGCAGAGAAGGCAAAAGCACAGTGGTAGAAAATGCAGGTGTGGCTGGCGAATGTTATGGCAGAAGTGAGCGCGGTATTTGGGCAGGCTGTGGAGCTGTTTATTGTGCAAGTGTAAAGCAGCTAATTGAATAGAAACCGGTCTGGAAAAACAGGAAAGAAAGAAAGGACTGTCTGGAGGTAATTCACCATTCAGCAAGCACGGGGGATTGTTGCTGGACATGCCAAAGTTGCCATCTTTGACTTTCAGCTCCCTAGCAATTGGCCTGGAAGCCTGCCTTGAAACAAGGCAGGAGGGGGGCAGTCTATCAATGGCCTTAGAGAAGGGAGATGAGAGAAGTTAGCTGTCTTGTTTCTTTCCAGACACATTTTTTTGGGGAAGGTAGTGAGGGAGTGAGATGAAAAGCAAGTAGAAATTTTCTACAACAGAAATTTTCTCTACAATACAAATTTTCTCTACAATAGAGATTTTCCTCTAGGAAATTTTGAAGATCTTGGGTCTTCTGGCAAATATTCCTCTGTAGGTGCTGTAGTTTTACATGTTGAGAAATTATTTTGTTTCCAAAGAGCTAAATAATCCATGTGGAGCCCTGGTCAGAGACACCTGAGCAGCGCTCTGCAGCCTGTAGCACCATTGCAGGTGCAGACTTGCAGCCCCACACTCACCCCCAGAGCAGAGCCCCTCTAGCTGAGGAGAGCTCAGGACCATGAAGTCTGATGCCTAAGACACTGTGCTGCCAGTTTTAGCAGGGAAGATAAGCTCTGCCACAGCAACTGCAGGTAAGTTTGCAAAGTGGTTGTAGCTTCCAGCAATTTTCCTCAGTGAAGAACCCTTGCTATTTTTGTTTACAGGCACTCTCTAGGCATTCAATGTTTCAAGGCTCTCTTATGCACTTTTTAGCTGTGAGCTTTTCCACAAAAACCCATTTCTGACAGTATTAAACCTATAGGTAAACCAGGTTAATCCATATAACATGTTTTGGTGTAAAAATTTCTCAGTTTGAGGAATGGCATGCAATCAAGACCTGGACTGTTAAGTGAGGGCTTCATTGTTGTTAATGTAGTCTAATTTGTCAACCCCACTTTTAAGTCTGTGTTTTGCAGGATTTGTACTTAGATGGAAGTTCCTTTTTTTCCAGCACTGGCCTACAGATATCTTACTGGCTTTTCCTTTTCTTTCCTTTTCCATCTGTAGAATCAACTTTTCCCATGACAGCAGCATGATGAAATATTCTTAAAGGGTTCTCCTGCCAGTATTTGTCTCTGAAGCCCCTCTCCCTTCATAAATTTTTTTTCATCTCAAATATATGTCCAATGAAAATTCTCTCTGTTTCATATTACATTTATTGAGTATAGAGAGGTTGCCTCACAGATAAATTGCTTTGGAACACATCTGTATACATGTTTCTGTATGCTTTTGTGCAAATATGTGTATGTGTATATATATATATATATATATATTTATATATATATATACTCAAACACCTACTCATAGATGCATAATGTACATGCACACATATTATTTCCAGAAGAAATGCTAGTATAAACAGCTGCTATTTGTTCTTCTAGACTGTTCTTCTGGAATGTAAAATAACAAGATTATAAAGAAGGCAGTATTGTTACTGGCCGGAAAATTTTTGAGAGACAAGGAGGAAGAAGAAGATGTTTGGCAACTTTATGATGCTGGAAGCAAAATAAAGTGAGGAAAAAATATACCTGGAGCTGTGTACCAGTGGCAAGCACCTGAAGGTTTGTGTTGCTTTGACTGTACTATGGGAGAAGGGAATGTTTCCAATATGAAGGGCTCTCTTTGCATGCTTTCCAGTTTGTCACATCCCCACATCCCCCTGGTGTCAAATCCAGACTGGGAAAAGATTTACAGTGTAAGGCTGGTGTAGTAAAAAGAGAAGAGGATTCTCGTTGGGATGAAGTCAATGAGAAAATAGGCATGAAGATAAAGTCTTCTGAATTTTATATGAAGGCTTTTGCATTTCAGGGCAAATATTTTCCTACCATGCTTGCAAGTAACTCTCCAACCTCTCCCATTAATTGGGAAGTAGTTTAAGGCACTTTTGACAAAAGAATGTAGATGCACTCCTTACCTGTAGATATTTGTTATATTTACACATCAATGTCATATAAAAACTTTCTTGGATCAAATCCAGCTTACTCTGGAAGTAATTTCACTGCCATTTGGACAAAAAACCAGTGTCCTCATTTAATTGTGAGTTAAGAAAGCAGCATTAAGTGCTGTGATTATTTTTGCATAGAGGCATAATTTGGAAGGGAATCTGGTTCTGTCTCAGAGACTTGTAGGTCTTATCCGCACTCAAATTCTGTTCTTCAAAGATGAATGTGCAAAATATAGTCTGTCCTTATAGTCTCGTTTATTTATGATTTATAAGCTCTGTGTCTTGCCTAATAGACAATAGAAGAAAGCTAACTTAATTGAGAGCTGGTTATAAGCACTGTGAACAGAAACCTTTGTTCTCAAGAGCCAGCCACTGGAGCGTGTTAGCAGCACATTTTCCAGATGAACTCCTTTCATGCCTTATTTTGTGACTAGAATGAAGAAACTAAGCAATGGGTACCAAGAGCCTTCTATTTGTTTAAAGTTTCTTTTGGCAACTGAAAATATATTTACAGACCTTTAAGCTTCCTGGGAGATGCTGGCCAGACTGCTCGTGTTATGGATCAGTAGTTGTGTCTTTTCATTTCTTCCTGATATTTCACATAATCAGTCTCTGAATATGTCCTGCCCATCATAGGGGTTTATTCCCTGACAAAATCACAGGCAAGTAAGGAATAAAATAGGATAACTCCAAATAAATAAACTGAGTGAACTATACTTTGGGTCTTGCAGTCCTGTATCAGCAGCATTGTTACCAATAAGGTGATTAACCTTTGCAAATCATAATTAAGGTTATTACAGCTGCCATTACACATGAAAGTAAATAGAGACATAAAGATGTTAAGTCACTATCAGAGCTATGTAATCGATCAATAGTGGGCTGAAGCCAGGAATCCTTTCCAGGTTTTCTTGTGACCCCAGGACTTTCTGCCTTGTCAATTATTAAAGACTTTTAGCAATCTTCAGTGCTGTGCCAAAATTTTTTTTGCATGTTCTTCCCCTTCCCCTTCCTTTAATTTAGTTTTTAATTCCATATTGTTGTAAATGTGTGTCATTGTGATATTGGAGCAGTGTTTACCTAAGATACATGAATGACTGTGAGCAGAGGTGGAGAGACTGAAACCTGTTTTGCTTAGTGCACATTTATCTTGAGCTGCAAAGCTCAGGGAGGGCTCTAAACCTTTGATGCTTTGTACCTTGGGCTTTCATTTTGGCCCAGATGTTTTTCCTTCTGAAATACTGGCATGAGGAGCCCTCCTCTGTAGATTTGTCTCTCCTGGACTTCGTCAGATATCCTGCATCTCTGGAGGCTGAAGCCTACAGAGACAAAACAACACAGTCCAGGCATACAAGTTGTGACGGTGTTCACAGGGGTCGCAGGATGAGGGAAGAGATGAGGATCTGACTCCATGTTTTAGAAGGCTTAATTTATTATATTATGATATATATTATATTAAAACTATACTTAAAGAATAGAAGAAAATACTTCATCAGAATACTTGCTAAGAATAGAATAGGAAAGAATGATAACAAAAGCATGTGGCTTGGTGTGACGGTGTTCACAAGGGTTGCAGGTGAAGAGAGAGATGAGAATGTTGATTCCATTATCAGAAGGCTCGATTTATTATTTTATGATATATATACTACATTATTACTATACTACAAAGAATAGAAGGAAAAGTTCTCAGAAGGCTAGCTAAGCTAAGAATAGAAAAGAATGAATAACAAAGATCTGTCTCTCGGCAGAGAGCGAGACCCAGCTCTGCCATGAGTGGTCAGTAAATCCAAACATCCAAAGGAGACCAAATCACGGATCCACCTGTTGCATTCCACAGCAGCAGATAACCATTGTTTACATTTTGTTGCTGAGGCCCCTCAGCTTCTCAGGAGGAAAAATCCTAAGGAAAGGATTTTTCCTAAAAGATGTCTGTGACTGAAGCCATTGGGAATTGCAAAGGTATAACTTACCTCATCTAATTCAGCTTTTCTGCTCAACCACAGGCACCAACAAAATCAAATGTTCCAGGTAGGAAAACAGAAATGTGTGTGGATAGCAGAGATAGGGAAATCCCATCCCAGTCATTTGGCCTTCCGTTCCCTTGCATAATCCTTCTGGCAGAGCTTGGCTGGCAGCAGCACAGGCCAGGTCCAGGTTTGAAAAGAGACACCACTAGAACACCTGCTCAAGCCATCACTGAGAAACCTGGAAAATTAAACCATCCTTTCTACTCCTATGAGCTTATTTGACCTGCTTGCAAGCATGTCACCTGTTTTTTTAAAAGTTATTTTATGAAATTGGAGACAAAGCCCATAGTGGCAGGTCAAAGATGCAGCTACAACAGGCTTCAGTGTGTGTGCCCAGTACACAACTATACATCCCAGTGCTTTATTTGGTCTTCTCTAATAAATTACCAATTGTCTCTTCTTTGACACATTCTGGTTTTTTCAGCTCTTAGCTTAGACTAGCTGCAGCACTGGGGGCTTACTCTCCAAGAAATACCTGTACAAATTCATTTTGCAAGAGCATCCACTTACTTATATTTTTATGATGGGTGTTGATGACTTTTTTTATGGTGTGATTTTTTTCATTTTTGTGCTGAAATTGTTGTCCCAGTTAGACATTTAACTCAAATTTTACCATACTAAAAATAAGGTTTTGTCTCTGTTTTACTTTTTTTTTTTCCAAACAAAAATGTGTTGTGCATTGCAATGACACATGTAAAATATTTTTTTCAGGCTTGTCCCTTGATCCCCTTCTTTTACCTCCCTTATTTTATGAGCTATAATCAGAACTTGCTGCTTCTGGTTGTGTGCGTGGGGACTTTTCTGGACTTTGCTGTGTTGGGGCTGTCTGTAATTTCCCAGCCACCAAGCTTAACAGTTGTTAAGATTATAAATGTATTATCTGAGAAGAGGCTGTCGTATGTCTAAACACCATTCATTTAAAAAGCAAAAGACAAAATATAATGCCCCTGAATAATTCTTCTATTCAGTGTAGTCCCATTGCAATGTTTCGCAGAGGTAAGGCTGAGGCTTTTCTCCCCATATGAGGACAAGTGGCATCATACCCTGTTTCCCTGGCAGTTCTGCAGTGTCGTGCAGACATGGCAACTTTGGATGCTGATTCTTCTCTCCTGAGCAGTGCTGTCTAAGGCACAGCTTCCTGCCTCCGCAGAGCTTCAGTCCTGCTCTCTTTCATGCAGCAGAACTGGCAGTGGGCTCGGACTCTCAGTGTCACATCTTCATCGGTGCTGGCAGCAAGCACTGTCCTTCCTTGTTCCCTTGCTCTAACTGCTCTGTTTGTTGAAATGTATAAATGTGCAATATAAAAGTGATGGGAAAAGTGGCAAAATATGAGAATTCAATAAAATTATCTTGACTGGGTTTCCAGTAGGATGATGAGCTAGAGTGAAGATACAAGTGACTAACTCCGGTGTGATGCCTACTTGGGATGGATTCCTGCCTTTCCCTCACTCCACTGTCTCTTACTCCTTCATGAGCCTGTTCCTTAGCCTTCCAGAAAACTTGGGGGGAAAAGGTGTGGTCTTATATTTATTCTGCATGGTTGGTGAGGGGAACTGGCTTATGGAGTTGTTTGATAATTGGAAGGGCTGGGTGGAGGTTGAAATACATGGCTGAAACAAGGACAGCCAGGACAGGAGAGGTAGAAAGACAAAAAAGGGAGATGGAATTGGAAAGGGGGAAAAAAGCTTTGCCTGTTTAGTGGAGGGAATATATTTGATCAGTTCAGCTGACTGGAACTGTGGTCCCTGTGTTTAACCTTAATTATTTCTTCTTCCACTCTCTCATCCTTTGGTCAGGCTCTTCCAATTAGAAAGGCCTTCACAGTAGGGAATGTGCATAATCATCTGAGTAAAGAGTGAGATGCTGTGGGAACACTGATGCAGTTAGTTTAGTAGGTGCAGCTCAAATCTTGGTAGCTGTTGGATTGTTTCCTCCATTTAAATGATTGTGGCTCTTTTTAGTGTGCATCATAGGAGTGATATTCTCTCTTGTTAAAGGAAATAGAACACATAGTTTTCCTAGGTAACCTGCACTTTGTGAAATGAGCAGAACCAACAGGTAGAGAACTTCCTAACTAGTGAAGCAGAAGCTGGGTGAAAAACACAAGTGGATTGGAGCAATGGTTGTTCCAAATATTTTGAGCATGTGCAGAACCAAGGCACAGGTACAGGGAGAAGCAGAGAGGCACAGGCCTCTTGTGTTTATCAGGTGGCAATCTTCAAAGCACCCCACCTCAGATTTAGGCTAATCAGATTTTTTAAGTCTAGTTCTTTGACATAATTTTGAAAATTAAATATTAATGACTTGCCACAACAGCTGCTGTCACAGTACAGGCTGGTACTGGGCTCTGTGCCTTTGGGCTTAAGCCTTCTAATAAATCACACAAGTATTTGCTGCCTTGCTGCTGCACACAGGGGATGAGGTGAAATATAAGTAGTGGCACTCCATACATGGAGTGACTTAAACTGTGCCTTTAGACATACCAAATAAAGTTAACTTAGTTCTTTGTGTACTTTCATTTTGGAAAAGACCTGTCCTTCCTGGTGCAGAGTTAGCAGGGAATGAGCTGTGGCAGCTGAGGCAACATTTGGCT